TCTCTCTCTCTCTTGTGTGTCCATTCTCTGAAATACCGATAAGCAATGAGCTGTTTTGAGCTTGATGATACTTTGTTTGAGAATCCTTGTGGATTCGTTGTATGATGCTCGTACAGCGGACGCAAACCCACCCGAAAAAGGAGGCAAAAGGAAAATCGTGGCTAGTTGCTGTGACATGGTTGGATGGACTGACCATGCCTTTTTGCTTGTTTAACTGATTGAATGTCGTGAACAGCTAGCAATATGTGTCTTCATTCTTGGTGTAGTCTGCATCTTTGTGAACTACGACTCCGATCGGCAGAGGCAACAATTTCGGAGCACAGGTGGAAAATGCCTTATATGGGGAAAACCCTGTGTCAAGGTAGGTCACTAAGAACCCCCTACGATCTGTGTTTCCACTCTCCCATAATGTACAAGGCAGGTCACTAAGAACCTCCTACGATCTGTGTTTTCACTCTCCCATAACCCATAATGTACTTTCATATCTCCCAACTTCAGGGGGTTGAGACAGGTTCAACCCCCTTGGCGTTGCATTTGTTTGGTTGGCAATGGAATGACAATAACTCACAGGGAAACATAGCAAGCGAAGAAGCAAGCATGCAAGAGAGCAATCAAGGGAGAGTGAATTCATCTATGCAAAACAGACAAGTCGAAATGAGAGTTACTGTCCCTTTCTTTGGGTGAATTCACTCTCCGTTAATTGCTCATTTTGACTTATCTCTTTTGCATAGATGAATTCTCCCTTTTGCTTCTTAACTCTTGGGAGAATTCATCTATGCAAAAGGATGAATTCTCCCAAGAGTTGAGAAGCAAAAGGTAGGGAGTACGCTGGTATTTTTTGTGAAAATTCAGCGGCTGCTATGTTCTACTTCGGCCCATGGGACCTTCTCAAGGTGATTGGAGGGGAAAAAAAGAAAGAAAAGAAAAAGGGTTCCAAGCTACAGATGGATGACCTCTCAGGATATCGTCACGAGGTCAACGGCCATGCCGAGCAAATGAACCGTGGGTGGTACAACATCTGCTCTGGCACTATATCAAGCCGAGTCTGGATGACTGAGATAAGAAATTGCCCCTCGTTGCCAGTTTGTACAACAATACCATTCATAGTCCTACTACCGGTAAGACACTCCCAATCAGGTTCATCTTGGTTTGTAAGCCTTGATCAGCCTTGGGCTTTCTCCTCCCTGCTCCCTGAGAATAGACCCTCTGCTGCACCAGGCAGCATTGAATTTGCTGTCCAGTATGATAAAATGCTAGAGCAGGCCGTAGAACAAATGCAGAAATCTCAAGATGCCATGATTGCATCCGAGAATAAGCACAGAAGGCCATCCACGTTTCAAGTGGCTGAAAGAGTCTGGGTTAAGTCGTCAGAGTTTGGACAGGAAACAGACATCTCTCTCTCTCTCTCTCTCTCTCTCTCTCTCTCTCTCTCTCTCTCTCTCTCTCT